TTGCCTTTCAGAGGTGAGGTTCCTTTTTTTCTACTTCACTGGTTTAGCTCCTGATAGGACGTTGATGCAATGCTGTGCGATTGCTATCCCAGTAATATTGCTTGAGCTCCATACGAAAACGTCCAGGTTATCTACCAGGCATTTCACCAACTTTCCATTTTTTGTCAAATTCCAACCCGGCCCCGATTTTGAACTCTCATCCTTCTGATACGGAGATTTTTTCGATCATGTCAAGTGGTTTGATCTGTCCTCTTGGAGGCTCGACATCTAACATCAAGACCGGTGGTGCTCTTTTGGCTGATATATTGTCGACATAACATCTGGATACTTGTTAATCTCCACGCACGCACTCAACGATGGCCCTGACTGCGGTCAGCAGTGGCCGACCATAGATTGCATTGTAGGCCATGGGGATTTTGACAACTGAGAAGCTCGCCACAATCACCACAATGGTTGGATATGTGCCTAGTGTGACTGGAAGCTCCATAGTCTCTTCTGGAATTACTGTGGCCCTTCTAAAGCCCTATAGGGGGTGATTCAACTTAATTTAACCAAGTATTCTTGCAAAGACTTGAAACCAATGGCTGTCTTTCTCTTCCTCTTACTACTGAGGAAGTAGGCCACAAAGCTCCTGGAGAGTTCATCAAACGTTTGGATAAACTGGGGGCTAGTGTTTCCATGTCACCCAGTCTCTAGCTTCCTTTCTGAAGGTTGGGGAAAAGGATCGACACATCACTGTATCGGGTGCTGCATATAGCCTCATTAAATCAACGAATATCCAAAGGTTGTCAGGCAGATTCATGACCCCGTCGTAAACTTCTATCATGCTTGAAGCCCTTAGGTAGATGGATCGCCATAATTTTAAGTGCATACGGGTCTTCGTCCAAAACCATCTGCATACGTTTGTCCTTTCTCCAAGATAATGCACCATCTATCTTCTGCGTCATAATCTTCTCCATCCTTCACTCCAGAACTGTCATGGGTGACGAGGGCTGCATGACCGTCATCCCCGGAGCCCTCGAGCCTTCTGTCACCAATTGGATGATAGGTGAGGCTTCTACGTGCATCCCCTGGGGTGGCAGCATGGCCTCCGCCCAGTGAGGCGATGGGAGGGTGGCTCTCTGCATTTAATTCTGCAAAAGGTCATCATCGTCGCCAACTGGGTCTTTAGGGCGCTGAATTGGCTTTGTGTCACATACTGCGGTGGCGACCGTGGGTCGGGGCCCCTTGTAACTAACTCTGACTCTATCTTCGTTGCAGTTGCCCTTAAGCATGTATCACTTCTTGTTTGTCTTCTTGACATAGTTTTTGTGTTCAGTGGAAGAAGTTTCCCACAGATGTCGCCAATGGAATATTGGTGGAATAATACCTCCTGATCTACCTGGTAGCCTTTAGCGTTCCTGTTACTCCGACGGGCATGTGTAACCTGAAAAGTGAGGGCGGTGCTTTCTCCCCGTTTTACCTCCGACGTGAGAATCGGTATACGTGTTAGGATAAATAAGGACGGAGTTTAGATGGCTAAAAAAAATGTAGTCATCCATACCTGTGCCACCATCGGGGGTATTTATAGACATTAGAAGCCTAGTGAGAGCCAGGTAGTTGTGGTGCCACGTGTACCCACGTTGGCCTTCCCATTACCCCCACGTTCTGAGTGGGGGGTCTTAACTTCCCGTCCGGAGGTTGTGCCCATGGTAACCACTATGTAACCTTGTCAATTCGTTAGAAATTTTATGGCTAAGTGTTGAGATAGCCCTATAGGTAATTCCATGTCGGTTGATGGTCACGTTGAGGTAAAGCACCCGGGGGGTCGACAGTCTGTCATAGAGGTAGAGCACCCGGGAGGGTCGATGGTCTCTCATGGAGGTAGAGCACCCGAGGGAGTCGACGGTCTCTCGTAGATGTAGAACTCTCCCGACGGGTCGATGGTCTCTCGTAGAGGTAGAGCACCCGGGAGGGTCGACGGTCTCGCGTAGAGATAGAGCTCCCACGGGGATCGATGGTCTCGCGTAGAGGTAGAGCGCCCCTGGGGGGTCGATGATCTCGCGTAGAGGTTGAGTGTCCCCAGGGGGTCAATGGTCTCTCGTAGAGGTAGAGCACCCCGAGGGTCGACGATCTCACGTAGAGGTAGGGCACCCTCGGTGAGTCGACGGTCTAGCGTGGAGGTAGAGCGCACATAAGGGAGTCAATGACCTCACGTAGAGGTAGAGCGCCCCTAGTAGGTCTACGATCTAGCGTAGAAGTAGAGTACCCCCAAGGGGTCGATGACCTCCCGTAGAGGTAGAGCGCCCATGGGGGGTCGGCGTATAATGCCTTAGCTTGCTTGTTATCGCAGGAGGTTATCTACGCCGTCCAATATTAGATTATATTGTGTACAAGGAAGAGAGTGAGAAATAAGAATTATTGTTGGAATGTTGTGTGAAAAAAATTGGAAATGAGTTGGGGTATTTATAGAGTAATAACAAAACAAAGAAAAAAGTGGCCAAAATAGCCACTTTGCAACTTCAGTGACCATTTGCAAATGGTCACTGTTCATCACGAGCCACCTTTTTACTAATCGAGTCGACGAGTTGCTCGGTTCAATTGCCACCTCTAACCTTGTTAAACTTGCAACAAATTGATGTGAACAATATGATGTAACCTTTAGGTCTATGTGATTTCTGCAGGTGTGAGTATTTGGGTTGCAATTATCTTTGATTAAGATTTTATTTTCTATTTTTTTTTTATGATAATTCATACCTTTAGCTTTAATTTGTACAGATAAATATGAGTGAGAAATTAATTGACATTGTCAAATAATAATCTTATATTCCAAATAAATCATGATTTATCATATAAAATAGTAAAATTACAGGAATTTCAAGTTCAAGGAGCAAAAACAAGGGCTTACCCTAATTTTCTCTCAAACTATTAGATATACGGTTAAACTCTTTGTATTGTTCGTAGTCGATTGCAAGTCCGGATTAAGTAGGTTTTGGTTAAATTACAGGCAACATAAAACATTGTACCATTTACTTCACAAACATGTGAATTTTCTTTTCTTTTCTTTTTCTACCGTTGTCTTAATTTCCAATTCTTATTATAAATTGAAACAAATGTGACAAGACTATTAGAATAATAATTATACGTTTTTTTAAATTATATATATAAAAAAAAAGGTTTATACTTTATAGGCTTGGGACGAATCGGGCTGTAACCTTGATGAAGACGGCTTAAATGGTTCTATCTTAACGTTTGGCAATTTTTTTTTAATCATCAGTTTTAGATTATCTTTATATTATTAGATATTAGGTTCTTTATATAGTTTTCATGAGTTTAGTGACAAATTTGCAATTTAAATTAAAAGAAGAATTCGGTCTTTCAAGTCTCTGCCAAGATACTAGGGTTGGCCTTTTTATTTTGATAAAAAATAACATTATAATTGTGAATTTTTTTCCCCTTGATTCAATTTTCGAGATGAAATGTTGAATAAACGAATATTGTGATTGTATTCTTGTGCTTTTATTTCTCCACAACGTTATGCTGGTATCAAAGCTAGAGATCCTATGTTTGACTTGATCTTGGAACATTCTCATGTGGTGGATGGACAATACAAAAGTATGCTTAAAATATGTGTGAGCCGAGACAAACTGGGTTTGGGCTTGATTTTGAGTGATACAATTTAGGTAGAACTTAACGTGCTAATAATGTGAGAAAAATAGACTAAATAGTGCACAAATTTTGGTGCAAAAACCTCATTAGAAAAAATGATACACAAATGGAAAGATAATTGAATTTGAATTTTAACATAAAAATGAAAGTTGGGAGAAATTGATAGTCAGAGCGAACTTTTTTGCCTCCCTTCTGTAGAAAATTCTAATTTTTGAACTTAGAAGTAAGGGCACTCTGGGTATTCTATTGACACGACTTTCAAGGCATCTTGAGAGCTATATAAGAGATTCTAAAAAAAGGTTGAACCCCAACATTAAGAGTCCCCCACCGCTCCTGCCCTGGAGTATCGTGAGGAAGGTAAATCGCAGGTTATGCCTCCAAGGGTACAGGGTGGAAGGCTGCTTGTACACTTGCACTTATCCAAGAGTCAAATCCATATTTCAGGATTCGAACCCTTGACGCGGCAGCCTCTAGCAAAGTTGGATTTCTCCACCCTCCCCTTTTACCACTTGGAGATGTGCCCTGGAGACCTATATAAGAGAAATTCTAGGTCAACAAAGGGAGGGTTCTACACAACAAAATAATGGGTCATAGAAAAGGAAGTTCGTATCATAAACATCAAATTCTTGGGAGCAAGATTACAAGAAATTCTGGGAGACTTCGGATGATTTTGAAGAAGATATTATTCAAGACCATTGAAGAAATTCAAGATTCAGGGTTGTATAAACTTTTATACTAAATTAGCTCCGAACCGTTTTCGCGCCAATTGAATCCAAGTTTGAGTTTTACTTACAATTAACAAAATTACACTAATTTCGACAAAAATCTGCCCAATTAATTTTAATTTATTATATTTAAAAGCATGGAAACACACTTATCGGCCTTAACCCACCCCCATTAGTTGAAATTTTAATGGATGGAATAGTATTTTTTGAAGGATGTATGGTTAAAAAAGAAGAAAAAAATTGAGATTACGTGTAATATTATTTTATTGAAGATTGTGTGGTTGATAAAAAGAGAAAGAAAAATGAATTATAATTACTCTTACTCAATGTCTTTTGTATTAAATATCTATGGCAGTAGGAGATAGACAGATGAATTGTCTTTGTATGACTAAAAATTATAGTTTGATGTTTATTCAAATTTTTCTTTGATCTTAGATTGGTATTTCATGTGAAACCAACAGGCTCGTTTTCATTCTTTGTTCTTCATTTCGTTTCAATTAAATTCTGCTGCATCTGATGGTGATTTATGTTTATAAATATACTTGAAAGATTTTATTACTTAAGTTTGATATTTTATATTCTCAAATTTTATGATCAAGCAACATATCCAAGAATGGTGAGATTAAATTCGGAAAACAAAGTTACTAATATTCATATATATACGGCACAAAAATACAGATTAAATAATCAATAAGGAAGACATTCCAGATTAATCAGTTGGCTTGTTCTGATAAAAGGGAGTAGGCTCCTAAAAGATTTATTTTCTTTTGACAGTTGCACTGAGACTTGCTCTGTGGATGGTCGAAGTTGTGGAGTTGGATGAATGCATGCTAATGCTAACTCGGCAATGGAAACCACTTGTTCAGCCAAATGTCCAGTAGGAATTGAAATTCGTTGGTCGAGTATATCCTTCAAAAGTATGTCATGCACAGTCGCTATAATTGGCGACTCAGAAGTTGAGGGTACAAATGAAGTTGAAGGTGTGAAAATCGATGAGATAGAGTCTCCGGGATGTTTTCCCATGATGATTTCTAATGCTAGAACTCCAAAGCTATATATATCACATTTCTCATTGAATTTCATGGTAAATGCAAGTTCTGCGAGACAAAAAGGGATATGGGTTAGTATAGATGGATATTATGAACAGAAATTATACTGGTACAGATAAATTGCATAGACAGTTTTAAAGATGTTGAAATGGCAGCACCTGATTGGCTATTTTAACTTCATTTTTTTTGGTCCAAAATCCTATAAAATGTTGTCGCATTCTATAAATCCATCTGTGCAATTTATCTGTACATATAGCATTGCTCTATTATGAAAGAGATGGATTGTAGGATTAGAGCATACATGGAGCTGCATAGCCAAATGTCCCAGCGAACGATATCCAGTTGGATGAGTCTTGTTTCAATACTTTTGCAGCACCAAAATCAGAAATATGAGCCTCGTTTTCGAAGTCTAACAGTATATTCTTGCTTGATATGTCTCGATGAACAATGGGAGGCGAAATGTTATGGTGCATATAAGATAACGCATTCGCAACTCCTTTAACAACATTCACTCTCTTGCTCCATTTAAACTCTATGGCCTTTTCGTCATTGGACAATACACTTGCCAGACTTCCTCCCTCTAAGAACTCATAAACCAGTAATGAGTGTCGTGAGTGAGAACAAAATCCATAAAGCTTGACAATATTGCGATGCCTTATTTTTGTTAATGCCTCAATTTCGTTATGAAATCCTTTTTGATTCATGACTTCATCATCTGATGCATGTAGTTTCTTCACAGCAACAACTAGACCATCCAATTCCGCCTTAAAAACACTGCCACATCCTCCTACCCCAATGCAGTGTCTAGGGTTGAAGTCCTCGGTTGCTTCAATGATTTTTTCGTACACCATCTTTCCGTCGAAGCTCCAAATAGTAAACAATTTTGTAGGACTTTTTGGATCTTCTTTGAGAATCCTTTTCCTTGACCGCAAAACTAAGAAAATGCCAATAACCATGATAAAAAATAACAATCCTCCCACCACTGGAAATATAGTTAACACCAAAAGTCTTCTGCTTTTTCTTTCTTCAGCATTATTTTTCACTATCATAGAGCAATTCTTCAAACCAATAATATTTCCACACAAGGCCTTATTATTCCTCAAACAATCAAAGCCAGCATTTTCAATTGCTTTGTTATTTGGAAGAGGCCCCTCCAATTGATTGTACGATATATTAATGACTGTTATACTCGAAAGTTGACGAAAACTTGATGGGATAGAACCTGAAAATTCATTGTGCGAAAGATTCATCATCTCAATTCTTTGGCACTGACCAAGATCGTGTGGTATTGAACCAGATAATAAATTTTGGCTGAGATCAAGATTTTCTAGAGAGTGCAAATTTCCTATCTCAGCTGGAATAACACCAGCAAGAACATTTTTGCTCAAGTTCAAGTGTATTAATTTTGTGCACTCCCCAACTTGTTTCGGAATCAAGCCACTGAAATGATTCTCACTCAATCTGAGGTCTGCAATTTCAGAAAAATTTCCAATAAGCAATGGTATGTTACCTGAGAGTCTGTTGTCATTCAAGAACAACTTTAACAATAGCTTCAAATTACCAAAACTGTCAGGAAAGCTTCCAATTAATTGGTTCTTACTCAGATCAATTACATTTAGTTGAGTTGCATGGCCAAGCTGAGGTGGGATTGTTCCAGAAAGATTATTGTTGGACATCAACAAGCCTACAAGAATAGTGGAATCCCCCCAAAACGAAGAGAGTTCGCCATATAGATTATTATGACTAACATCGATGTAGTACAAGTTTGGGTATCTACCGAAATCTTCCGACACATTTCCCGTGATTTGGTTTCCATAGAGTAGAAGAGTATATAAGCTAGTGCAATTTTTCAAACTACTTGGGACATTCCCTATGAAATTGTTTGTGTGGAGCGACAAAAACCTGATCATTCTTCCGAGGCAAACATTTTGTGGCATATGACCCGTGAGATCGTTAACACTCAACGACAAGTTTACTAGATGTGTTATATTATCTAACTGCATAGGAACAGTGCCGTTGAAATTGTTCATGAACAAGAACAGATCGGTTAAGAACTTCAAGCTTCCCAGTTCGGTAGGGATGTGACCAGATAATTGATTTTGACCCAAGTGCAAGTTAATAAGTTTTGAACAGTTCTTGATAGTAGGAGGAATAGTTCCTGATAGCTTGTTTGCATACAGCCTGAGAATTTCAAGAGAACTTAGCATTCCAATTTCTTGTGGGATGGGACCATATAATTGGTTATCGTAGAGGATAAGCCAATAAACTTTTGTCAAGTTGGTGATGGATGAAGGAATTGTTCCTGAAAGTTTATTTGAATACAGACTGAGAATTTGAAGAGAGCTAAGCATTCCAACTTCTTGAGGAATGGGACCATGTAATTGATTCTGGTAAAGATATAAGTTGGCTAAGTTGCTCATGTTCCCAATACAAGCAGGGATTGTACCTGTCAGACTGTTGGTACTCAAACTGAAATCAATTACAGACTTGAGAAAACAGATTTCCTGTGGGATAGAGCCATTAATATTATTATGGTCCAGGTAAAAAGTCTTGATATTTGTTATAAGGCCTAATTCAGGAGGTATTGTTCCAGAAAGAGAATTTGCAGACAGGTCAAGATAGGTTAATTTTGAAAGGTTGCCAATGTTTGACGGAATCTTCCCATAGATTGAATTACTAAAAAGATCAAGGACGCGGAGATTTGGAAACAATGAAAAATTGAGATATTCAAGTGTACCTCTTATGCCGATATGCGAGAGGTTTAGATAGGCAACCCTTCCAGCAGTGTCACAATGAACGCGGATCCAATGCCACGGGGTGGTTTTGTCTCCCCAGGACCTTAGGAAGTACTGGGTTTCGTTGTCAAGGCTAGCTTTCCATGTCAAAAGAGTTGCTGCTTCAGAATCAGCACCTTTCATTTTTGCATCAGAATGAAAAGTTGAACTCCTCGCCGGTTGAAGGATTTTTATGAAAGTGAAGATGATTATAAGTAAAGTAATGAAGTCGAAGGAGAATTGTTTATGTGCTGAAAGTGATTTCATTGTTTTATAATTAGAACTAAGTAATGAAGGCCAATGTTTGGTAGAAGCATGAAGGGAAGAACTGATCTTGAAGGTATTTATAGGGAAATAAATGAATGGAAATCTCCCACAACTGGACTTTTAGAAATTAAAATATGTTACAGAATTTCAAAAAAATAAAAACTATTCAATTAAACTACGAATTGCTGAATCATCAACTATGATGCTTTTAATAAAAATGCCTTTTATGTTATATTTGATTCAAAGAGCAGATGACAGCTACCTGAAAATAGCATCATATATAGATTGGCTAGAAAACATGAAAATTAATATAATTCAATGCTTCTATAATCTTCATCACAATTGCCGGCCTTTTTCCTGCTTTTTTTATGGGAACCCACATAGCAATAATAGCTCTGAAAGCCACAAAAGATTTATTCAACCCAAGAAAGTTAAGAAATCAAAGTTTAGATTTTGATCTAAAAATATTGAACCAAAGAACCAACACAATCTCATCCAATATGTTGATCCCGTGATTACAAGACTCGAGAATCTCATGCCACAAGAAATAATTCTTAATAAGTTCGTAAATTAGTTCAATGAATAACAAGAAATTGAAACCAAAAATTACTAACAAAATAATTTCTCAATTTGATGTATCAATGAAAGTTGTTTACAATGTAAATAATGAGTCCGACTTTTAGAAAACCCATAAAACCCTAGTCTATATGAAATTAAAGTCTAAAGATTACAAAAGTTGCCAAAAAAAAATAGAGTTTTAACTAAAATAGAAGATTACGCGAATTTGGAAAAATCGCATTTGAAAATTGAACTATGCGACCGCATATTGTTACTGAATGCGATCGCGGAGAAGAGCTAAAATGGCCTCTCTGATTTTCTGCATAACGTTATGCGGTCACATAACTTCGATAACTATGCGGTCGCATAGTTATCCCCGTTAGCCACTCCTTCCAATGTTTGAATCACGGTGAACCAATTGTTTCCGCTCCCGAGCCCAACATGAAATTAGCTTCTTTGTTTGCTATGATCAATGTTTCGTCCATCGTAAAATCAAATTTGGTGGCCATTTTAATACTAAATATAAAGTTGGGTGGTCATTGGTGGATTTAACCCGTATATTATCCATCATAAAATACAATTCTAAAAGAATCTAATCTCTATACATATTTAGGTCCACACTATTTAAAAATCGAAGTCCAATGACATTGATTTTTTATTAGATCACTTTAAACGGATTTAACTCTAAGTTAGACTTTCTACACAATTAATGATTTTCCTAACATAAACAGGTCCTTAGCAACACAGTAACAAAGGAGGGTGGGGCGACTAGATTAAACTAAACTAAATTAAACTTTCAAAATTATGATAGTATGTTCGATGTTGAAACTCATTTTTATATATTTTATTGAAGTCATCTGCTTGAAATTATTAATCTTACACAACACAAGTTAACCCAATAATATCACATCTTGAATCGGTCCTCGTATTCAACCTGCTTTTATGCATGAAAAACATTTGCTTTCCAATGGAGATTATGACAAGTATAGTTTATTACCAGCACTTCACATCATTGAGATATTTGAAATATTTCCCCTGTTTAGTTATATTTGTCTTTTAAAGGATCTATTTGATATAGAATAACATGTAGCTCATTTGACTAATGTTGTTGAAGCTTTCAAGGCATAAAAATAGATTAAATTAATGTTGTCATTCCAATCCTGACGCTAGACTTCAACAAATAATGCTTTCGGGTCAATCTTTTGAAATAATGAGTTCATATGGGGAAGGCTTCATTTTATTATTTTATTATTATTATTATTTATTTATTATTTTTTTTATGGTGTCACAGTTTATGATTAAGCAAATCATAATTTAAAAATGCTGGTTTAGTTTAAAAGTAGAAAAGTTTTTATTTCATCTTTTGTTCCTACTCAACGACTTCATTAATAAAACTCAAAGATCGAAGGCAATACTACATAATTAACTGAAATATTTTATGTAGGACATGAGATTTATTAAACAAAATATAAAGTAAAATAAGATGACATTCACCTTGCGAAAGACTGACACGCTTCAAACCAATCTCATTTATGCAAAGCGAAAAGCATTTCAAATAGATTCTCTATTTTTTAATAGCATATTTTACAATTTAGAGAGTATCTGTAAATTTTGAAAGATAATTTTTAAGTGCTTCAACATGCTCTTTATGCATAACATTTAATTTCACTATTTTCAAAAAATATTTATTATTTTTTCTATTTTATATTCTCATTAGCTTCTCTTTGAATTATTATATTATTTTCCTACATTGAAATTTGAAATATTTTGAATGCATTTAATTATAAAAAATGGGTTTGATTATCCTCTAAATTAAAATATTAATCTAAAGACTCTCTTGGTACATAATCTTAATAGTTGACTATTTAAAATAAGGCAAAATTACCTGAAAACCTATATTTAAAGAGTAATTTTCAAAAAACAAGGAGTGTAAATTTCATTTCAAAAATAAGGTGATAATTAGATTTTAATAATTATATTTAATAAAATCTAATTTAACCTACCCCACCCTCTTCCTTGACCCCATTCCCAATCCCATTTATCCCTAACCCTAACCCTCATCCTCACCCTACTCTCTCTCTCTCTCTCTCTCTCTCTCTCTCTCTCTCTCTAGCTCTCTCTCTCTCTCTCTCTCTCTCTCTCTCTCTCTCTCTCTACCCACGAACCACATTGGAGGCGATGTCGTCGTCGGCGCAACCACAACATCACACCATCGACGGATAGGTGCACGATGCGGTATCCCAAAATCGAATTCATTTTTTACCCTCACCCTCATCTTCTTCATTCTCTCTAACCTCTCTCTCTCTCCACGAACCACACGGAGGCGACGCCATCGTCGGCACGACCACAACATCACATCGTCAATGAATAGCAGTACGATGTAGACTTGACCCTGCCAATTCGTTGAACGCATACCCCGTTTGTCGCACTGAAATGCAAACACACACAAACGAAGTGAACGGTGGCGTCATCCTCGTGTTTGAAGATCTAAGAGCGGTGGCGTCATCTCCGGCATCACGATGTAGTAGCTTGGGTATTTTCACCTGTAGAACCCCAAATAATTCTAGACACCTTAGTGGCACTAAGATATGAATATTGGATGACTAAAGTATACTTCAGATTTTTTGTCTCATTTGAAACCCATTTTCGACATAGGAAACATTCGATTTGAAAAATGATATCTAAATAAAAGTTGTAACTCTTTGAGTTAGCTTTCGAACGCACTTTGAATCACCTCAATCGGATATCATGAGAAGAAGTTATGATAGAAACACTGAAAGCTGTGCAGTGTCAACCGGACTACAACCGGTCGACCGAAGCTGCCTGAAATGAAAATTCTCGTTTTTCTCTAGAATTTAAATATTTATTTTCATCAATTATTTTCTCAAAGGGCCACCCACGTTTTTGGCAATAAAAACCCCACTAAATTGAAACATTTAACCTCAAACTTAAATGGCACCCATATTTTCTATCTTAAATGAAATTTGACCCTTCATTTGCTTTAAGTTATGGGATATTTACCTATAAATAGAGACCTCATTTCACTCATTTTTTTCACACCAAAAGTAAGAGCTTTTACATACTAAAAAAAGAGTTTCCAAGAAAGAAAAAGAGAGGGAGGAAAACTATTTTTCCTAGAAGTTTAAGAAGTGTTTTCAAACATCAATTCTCAACGGTTTTCAAACATCCAAGGAGTGCATTTCTTTCAACGTCCAAGTTTCACCAAAGTTTTCAATCCAAGTTTTCAGAGTTTCAAAAGTATCAATCAAGGTAGGTAGAGGTGTAAAGTGTTAATTCGTGTTAAGTTATAAGTTTCTATTCATGTTAATGTTTGTATGTCAAATAGTACTCCGGTATGGCATATCCCTCTATATTAATGGTTGTATGTCAAATGGTACTCCGGTACGGTATACCCCTATATGTTGAAGAAATGTTCGTATGTCAAATGGTGCCCTCGGGTACGGCATACCCCTTCATGTCAAATGGTGCCTCCGGGTACGGCATGTATGAAAAGTTATAAAATTAATGTTTTGAAATGTATAGCTTGATCACGAATACACCTATGATACCTATTAAGTTTTTCAACTCACGGGTTTAATCTCGTCTCTACAGATTGAAGGAATTCTACCTCGGGCATGGATAGAGGAGAAGATGGAGAGTGATGCAACGAGCCCATGGAAATCCGGTGAATAAGTGATTTGGATTTATTTTTATAAAATGTTTTCCAACGTTATTTCTTTAAAGTTTTTAATAATGCAGAATGCGAGAACAAATTATGTTTTCTTCAAATAAATTATATTTTGTTGTTTTGAAAAATGATTCAGTGTTTTTGTTTAAAGTATTTGAAGTATTGTTATTTAAGTTATTATCCGAAGATATAAGCTTCCGCTAAAACGTATACACTTGTTACTAAACTACCGGTTAAGCTAAGTAAAGTAAGTAGCGTTCCGGTCCACTAGGGGTCGGGGCGTTACCACGTGGTATCAGAGTAAGGTTTAGCCAGTTCTGTAGACCAAGTATGTTTTTTTTTTAAAAACAAAAGGAAAATGAAAAGTTTAAGGTATTCCATGACATCGTGCATCCATCCATCAATCTCATCCTATGGCCCAGGTATGTTCATATTTAAAGTTAATGATTATATTTATGTTATGATGCTTTGATTTAGAGATGTGTTATTTAAAGATATGTAATGGACTTGGGCAAAAGTTAAGAGCTTAAAGGGAATTGTATGATATGAAAGTTTAAATATTTGTATGTTTTCTTTAAGTAAAGAAAAAGTATGATGTATGTGAAAATGCAACAGATATGGCTCGTAGAACGGCTAGGGCATATAGAGAAGCATTGAACCGTAGAATTGCTATTCATTCCTATGAAAACTATGTAATTGATCCGACCCGACCGCTTAGCGAACATGTGTATGACATCTATGAGAGATGCATGACGGCGGTTAACGCTGGAATGGAGACCACGCATATTGAGGCCATAAATAAGAAGAAGGATGATAACAGCGACCAGAACCAGAAAGGGAAAGCACGAGTTTTTGCATTGACTCAACAGGATGCAGAGGAAAACTCTAATGTCATAGCAGGTATTCT